ATCAAAAAGTGTCACACCTGCAAAAAACCATTGGCCACCCACCAAGAAAAACCCCTCGGTTGATCTAAACCCGGTGGGAAAAGAGGGTTGTTTATAATTGGGAGCAAAGGCAGAAAAGGTGACATCAGGCCACTGGAGTAATGTACCCAGACTTGTAAGCCATGGAGCAACATTGGACTCAATGCCATAGGGTGCAGGGCAGGGGGAAGCCATAGAAGCATCGATGTTGCGATAGGGGTCAGAGGAAGCGTGCAACATAGACAGTGGGGCAATCTGGCTCGCCTGATAATACTTAGTTACATTAGGCACCCCAAGACCACCCGGGAGTCTATGAATAAAAAGCATATTTCTGGAGACTCTAGGGTGCTTATCGGCCCAGATAAAAGCATAATCTTCGCCTGAATCAACCGAAGAAAATGAGGGGGAACCCGCACTGGGAGGGTGCGAAATATAATATAACAATTTCGGCAAGATGGTAATTTTCACTGAATTAACCCGTCCTATCCAAGACAGGTGCGGAAATTGCCAAGAATGCATAAGAGAGGATATAGAGCGAAGCAATGGATAATAATTTGCAGCAAACAGGGAGTCATAAGTGGGGGTCAAGCGAATGCCTAGGTATTCAAAAGAAGAGGAAGCCCATTTGTAAGAGAAGTGGGACTGTAGGCGCGAAACCAAATCTGAGGCCAAAGTAAAATTGAAAGCAACAGTCTTATCCAAGTTAATACGGAGACCGGAAATCAAGGAGAAGCGTTCAAGAACCTGTTGCAAATTAAGAACCGTCGTCAGGGGATTAGTGAGAGTCAAGAGGGCATTGTCCGCAAAAAGATTCAGCTTGAACTCCTGTCCCGCGTATGGAACACCCGATACATTGCAATCGGTCTGGAGCGCTAAAGCCAGCGGCTCAAGTGCCAGGACAAAGAGCACCGGGGACAGGGGGCAGCCCTGTCTTGTCCCTCGCCCAATAGGAAAGGGTATTTAACGGAAGCCGAAGGGGAAGAATACAAGGCTTGAATCCAAGAAAGAATAGAATCCCCAAAACCCCAACGAGACAGCACAAACCGCAGATATTCCCAGGATAGAGAATCAAAGGCTTTATATATGTCTAAGGACAGTAAGAATCCTGGGATTTTCCGCTGTTGCAGAAAATGTATAAGATAGACCACCTTAGGAACGTTATCACCCGCCTGCCTCCCAGGGACGAAGCCTACTTGGTCCCTGTGGACCAGGCTATGCAAATATTTATTAATACGAAGATCTTGCCCAATATCTTCAGGTCTTCATTAAGAAGAGAAATGGGCCAGAAGGCTTGTGGTTCCTGCACATCATCGGTCGTCTTAGGAATCATGGAGATATGCGCTCTAAGCGCGTCCGGAGAGGGCAAGGTACCCTGTCGTAACTCATTAAAATAGTCAGCCAAAAAGGGCGCCAACAGGGCTGAAAATTTCTTATAATAGAGACCGCAGAAGCCATCGGGACCTGGGGCTACGGTGGACCGTAAAGATTTGATAGCTTCTGATACGGTGACACCGGCATTGAGGGCCATCTGTGCAGATTTGTGCTTTCTTTAGAGCAATCAAGAACCAGTTTATTAATTTTACATTTACAGTATAATCCCTAGGCAGTCAGTGATTATAAATTTACAAACAAATTACAAAAAACAGACGTTAAACACATATTAGACAAACAGTGTTGAACATAAAAGGGATAGGAGTGTTTCTCCTGCACCAGGACTGGATGGAACATATGCGGATCATACCCGTAGAACAGATGGGATTACTTCGATATGACTCAGATCTGACTGGGGATCTCAACTTTATACTTTAGAGATCATAGTGAAGTCAATGCCCTTCCAGGCTGTCCAACTGTATGAAAAGAGCTGGCCATGGTAGCTTACCTAATTAGCACAGGTAGGATTTCAGTAATCACAATGTTTAAACACTTAAAACTGTTTTGAGCTACCAATTATGAAAATTAAACGTAAGATTAATGGTTTCAATTGTTTCACTTTTATATATAAACACTAAATACAGGTGTTTTACACCTAGTATAACAGGTACCAATAACAGGTACCAATGTAAATAAAACCAGTCAACAACTCTCCCCAATTTTGTAATAACGCTGGTAATGTTTGAAGTCTAACATCTCATCTCGGCACAAGCAGGCTTTTGTATAAAGTTTTAAAATTGCGCACTGTATGGTATGAGAGTTATGGGCTATCAAACTTTTTAGAACTTTGAAATATACACATTTGTCTCAGAGATTTGGTTGGTAGGAACATTAGCTCTAAACTGTGCTAGTTTGGATGGAAATGTGTAGACTGGTGTCCAGTGAGAAAACACACAGGATCTAACCGACCCCTCTCTGTAAAGGTATACAAAATAAACCTTTGGACTCCCCTCTACACTGTATTATTAAAATGTTATGTAAATTCTGAACTAATTCTGCCCTGAATGGGTCATGACATGGCAACACATAACATGACACTTCTCAAAATGTTTAGCAAAATATGATCCAGACCTACTTACTTTTGGCTGGATCATGACATTGTAATTTATATGGAAAACCACTTTAACACCAGCTTGTTACACCTCTTCCTGTGCAGTCCATTTTTCAGTTTTCAGTGCCGTGCTAAATTGACTGAAATATACCTGGACATCCAATGCTGTACTAAAATTAATGTTATATCTTTTTTTGCACAGATAGAGGCTTCTTTTGGTGGTATTTTTTTAAAAATTTTTACTATAGAGCTAAAAAGACCAAAACATTGCAAAAAAAATAAGAATTTTGACTTGTAAATTCCTCATCCTGGAATACAATACAAGAAACAAGACTTGTATTCTTAGACTATGAGTTACATGCACCTACTTTTAGGTGCTTGGACATAGGCAAAAAAAGAAACCTACTAGGCTCTTTTCCATAGGATTTCTTGTACAATACAAGAAACAAAACTTGTATTCTTAGATTATGAGTGATATGCACCTACTTTTAGGTGCTTCGACATAGGCAAAAAAAGAAACTTGCTAGGCACTTTTCAATAGGATAAATTCAACAAACAGCTTGAGAGTAGGTAATACCTTTTCAGGATTGAATCAGCCCTCACAATCAATCTGTGTATATTTTGGTAAAGTTTTTCTGGACTTTTTTGCAGTGCACATAGGGGGCTTGTTTAGGCTGTGGAGAGTCAGGTGTAGCTAAACAAAGACTTATGTAAACTATATCAATAAGTGTGTCCAAAGTAGAAGGCATTTGGCATGAAACAGCAGTACTTCATAAAATGCAGAGGAGGGAAAGGAGGTTCTGCTTCAAAGGTTCTAGAACTGCCAAAAGTTTTCCAAAGACATTAGAAATACTGACAGGCTGCATTTTATGCACCTGAGAGGGAGCTAGAGTTAGATCAGAGGTAAACATGCTATTCTGCCTCTTTGCTCAGCACCATTGCAAGTGAGGTGATCCCCAGTGGGGTACTCACAGTTATAGAGTGCTGAATTAAAGGAGTAATCCATGGCGGGATATAAGAGCCACTACAACTTAGGCACTGACAGCGTTCCTGAAGCTGTGCCAGAATTGTACCAACAAGCTGTGTCTGCGCTTTTGACAAAATAGACAAGCAGAAAGACATCATCCAGGAGGCATGGTGCAGTTACCGAAAAAAACAGCCAAGTTTAAATTGCTTGTGCCAAGAAAACTATAGAGACAAAATGGCAGGGTTTACCACAATAAAGTGAATACCACCCAAATCTACTTCTACCTATAGAATCACATAAAAACGCAATTATTTTAGTAAGAGCCAGGGCTAGAGACTGGTATAAATATACACTGAAATCCTGTCTTACCTTATGCACAATATTGGACCTAGTAGATGTCCAGGCTTTGCCCATCACGGTGAGCATACCCCTGAAGGGGTCTTCAGCGTCCAGAAACCAGAGAAATGGACCTTGGCCCTGGACCTGTATAGCACCCTGTGGCTAACTACACACATTGTACTATATACCAAGGTGAGTGCCTAACACAGGATCCTGTTCCTGAAGCAAACATTGCAAGTCAGCTTTACAAAGGTCCAGGTATAATCCAAGGGTAATCCATCCAGAAACTGAGATAGGCCAAGGCAGTAAGCTGTCAGATCTTGATAGAAGCTTTGAAGAAAAAAAATGAATAGTCAGAAAAAAGAAAAAGAATTCTCCAGAGGAGAATGGGTCCATCACCTAAGGACATTGGCAGCAACTGGCACTCTTTTTCCCAAACATTTTACTGTAAAGAAATTACAAATGGTAAATGTTATAGTGACCCAAGATAAATGCTTAGTGGCCCCCACTCAGGCTAACAAAGTGTGATGAATTAAATGCCACTGACTAGTGAGGGTGCAGGCCAGTCCCAAAAAGGTTTGTCCATTCCCAAAGCACGCTGTAGAAATAGGAAGAGATAGCCTGGTAGCTAGAGATGAGCGAAGTATTCAAAAATTCGATTCGGCTGATTCGGCGAATTCGAGGAATAAATTTGATTCGAGTCGAATATATTCGCTGCGAATTTAACTTATAAAAGGGTGTTTTTTAGGCTTCAGAGAGCCTTTATATTAGTGCAGAACACTGTACCTTTAATTTAAATGCCCTTGGAGTCTGCTGGGGAAGAGAAATAATACTGTCAGTCAGTATGACATGCAGATGAGTGCCGTCGATCTTAGAATCACCGCACACTTCACTCATTTGGGCAGTCACGGGGCCAAAACCAGAGTGTGGAGCCACAGTGTGGCGGTGGAGGCAGCAGCAATGGGAGGCCATACAGCACCCTATGACAAAAATGGAACCCACCAGCAGTGTGAGGAGACCTGAAAGTGGCACATGGCAGAGTGTGGCGATGGAGACAGCAGCAATGGGAGGCCGTACAGGGACCCATGACACACTCTGGACCTGGCAGCAGCATGAGGAGGCGGGGTACAGGGGCCCATGGCAGATTACGGCCTGGCAGCAGCAATGGGAGGCCCGTAATCTGCCAGCACCCTATGACAAAATGGAACACACCAGCAGTGTGAGGAGACCTGAAAGTGGCACATGGCAGAGTGTGGCGATGGAGACAGCAGCAATGGGAGGCCGTACAGGGACCCATGACAGATTACGGGCCTGGCAGCAGCATGAGGAGGCGGTACAGGGGCCATGGCAGATTACGGGCCTGGCAGCAGCAATGGGAGGCCCGTTAATCTGCCAGCACCCTATGACAAAATGGAACCCACCAGCAGTGTGTGAGGAGACCTGAAAGTGGCACATGTTTGGGGCATGATTCATGGCGGATTTAGTCAGTTGTGTCAGGAACTGGTGGTTTGAAATCCAGACTAATCCACGCCTGATTCATTTTCACAAACGTGAGTCTCTCCACACTTTGGGTGGACAGTCGTGTCCTCCGCGGAGTTACAATACCTCCTGCCGCACTAAACACGCGCTCCGATGCCACGCTACTGGCCGGGCATGACAGCCTTTCAAGGGCAAATTCAGCTAGTTGGGGCCAAAGGTCAAGTTTCGTTGCCCAGTAGTCAAGGGGATTGTCTACCTCGGTTGGCAGGGTGCTGTCAAGTAGGCCCCAAGCCTGTTGTTTGAGGTCCTGCTCCAGGTCCACCTGATGCTGCTGCTGCTGCGGCTGGTTAGTAGTTTCCTCACTGCGCTGGTGAAGAAAGCTACTCATCATCGACTGCAGACTGAGGCAGCCGCTGCTGGTGGAGCTGCCACTGCTCCTACCACCCCACCCCTCCCCTGCTGCCATGGCAGCGGAACGCGAGCGCACAGGGCCCACAGTGTCTGAGGATGGACGTTGGCGCAGAAAGGCAGAGACCAACTGACTACATAGGTGGTTTTTTATAGTACTTTATTTTGGCCTCCCTCTCAGCAGGTGTGTGAAAAAGGCCACCATTTTTGAATGGTAGCGAGGGTCCAACAAGGTGGACAGTCAAAAGTCATCCCTCTGTCTGATGGTTATTATGTCGGCTGTCGCTACGCAAGCAACCGAGCATGCTATGGGCCATTTTGTGCCAAGGAATGCGAGGGACTCCCTGCCTCCATCTCCACAGCATACTGCCACGGTGCGTCTGGGTCCTCTGTCTCCTCCTCCTACTACCAGATGCTCCTGCTCCTCCACTCCTGTCCGCTGAGTGGAAAAACCACCCCATTTCACTCAATAATTCCTGAGCACCAAATGTCCTCCTCTACCTCCTCCTCTTCTTCCTGTCCTGCCCCCCACAGGGGTCATGTGGCGTTGAGATCTGTGCGCCACGTCTACCGCACCCTGACCAGCCATTGTTAACAGCATTTGTTCCAGGACGTGCAACAGAGGGAATGACGTCGTTCATCCCATAGTCCCTGGCGGACTCACGAATAGCGTGGCCTCCTCAAAGGGCATGAGCAAGCGGCAGGTGTCACGCATGAGCTGCCAATGGCTGACATCTATAGTTACACAGGGAGAGTACCTTTATCCGCTTGTAACATCAGGAAATCGGTGATGGCCTTTCGCTGTTCGTAAAGGCGGTCCTAACATATGTAGGGTTGAAGTTCCACCTTGTTGCATTGCATCGTCACAGCATGAGGAGTCGGTGACGGGGGGCCCATGGCAGATTACAGGGCCCTGGCAGCTGCAATTTGTTGTAGGCCCGTAATCTGCCAGCACCCTATGCAAAAATGGAACCACACCACAGCAGTGTGAGGAGAACTGAAAGTGTCACATGGCAGAGTGTGGCGATTGGAGACAGAAAGCAATGGGATGGCCGTACAGGGACCCATGAGAGGACTCTGGACCTGGCAGCAGCTGAGGAGGCGTGTACGGGGGCCATGGAGATTAACGGGGCTTGCTAGACAGCATTCGGGTAAGGCCCCGTAATCTTGCAGCACCCTATGACAAAATGGGAACACACTGCAGTGTGAGGAGACTGAAGTGGCGCACATGGCAGAGTGTGTGGCGATGAGGAGACTGCAGGCAATGGAGGCCGTACAGGGGACCATGAGATGACTTGGGGGGGGGGGGGGGGGGGGGACATATGGCAGCAGCATGGACGGAGCCGGTTAGGGGGGCCCCCATGGCAATTAGGGGCCCTGGCAGCAGAAAATGGGGGGCCCCGTAATCTGCCACCCACCCTATGCCCAAAATTTGGAACACACCAGCAGTGTGGGGGAGCCCGGGGGGAAAATTTGGACAGGGCCCCAAGAGTTTGGCGATGGGGGGACGCAGCAATGGGAGGCCGTCAGGGACCCTGAGACACTGGGCCCTTGGCTTCAGCAATGGGGGGCCCGGGTCCCGGGGGCCCTTTGGAAATTTAAAGGGGCCTGGGCAGCAAAAATGGGGGGCCCGAAATTCTGCCAGCCCCCTATGACAAAATGGAACACACCAGCAGTGAAAGGGAAAGCCCCTAAAAGGGGCCCCAAAATTGGCAGAGTGGGGCGATGGAGACAGCAGCAAGGGGAGGCCTTCCCAGGCCCCATGGACATTTGTGGCCCTTGGCAGCAGCTTTAGGAGGGGGAAAAGGGGCCCCATGGCATTTAGGGCCTGGCAGCGCAAGGGGGAGGGCCCAAAAAACCCCAGCACCCAATGCCCAAAAGGGAAACCCAAAACCAGCATTTGTGAGGAGCCTTTTAAAGTGGCACATGGCAGAGTGGGGCCCGAGGGAGACAGCAGAAATTTGGGAGGCCGAACAGGGACCCATGGACACTCTGGACCTGGCCAGCAGCATGAGGAGCGGTACGGGGGCCCATGGAAATTTAGGGGGCCTGGCAGCAGCAATGGGAGGCCCCCGTAATCTCCCAGCCCCCAAAAAGACAAAATGGAACCCCATCAGCGTGTGAGGAGACCTAAAAATTTGGAAATGGAGAGTGGGGCGAGGGAAAGGACAGCAGCAATGGGAGGCCTTTACAGGGCCCCATGAAAAATTGGGACCTGGCAGCAGCTGAGGAGGGGGTACGGGGGGCCCGGGCAGTTTGGGGGCCTGGCACAAAAAGGGGGAGGCCCTTTAATTGCCAGAAACCCAAAGAAAAAAAAGGGAAACACACCAGCAGGTGAGGAAAACCTGAAAGGGGGACATGGCAGAGTGTGGCGATGGAGAAGCAGCAATGGGGGGCCGTACAGGGCCCCCATGAGGGGACTGGGGCCCTTTGGCAGCAGATGAGGAGGCTTTAACGGGGGCCCATGGCGTTTTACGGGCCCGGGGGCACCAGCAATGGGTTCCCGTAAATCCCCAAGCCCCCTTATGAAAAAATGGAACACACCACCCGTGTAAGGAGACCGAAAGTGGCACTTTGGCAGGTGTGGCGATGGGAGACAGCGCAATGGGGGGCCCCTTTCCGGGGACCCATGAGACACTCGGGAACCTGGCGCAGAATGAGGAGGCGGTAGGGGGCCCAGGGCCCAGATAAAGGGCCTGGCGGCAGAAAAGGGGGGCCCCGAATCTCCCAAAGCACCCTATGAAAAAAATGGAACACACCAGCATGTGAGGAGCCCCTTTGGAAGGGGGCAAAGGGGCAGATTTGGGGGCGATGGAGACACACCAAATGGGAGGCCGAACGGGGAAACCCATCGAGATCTGGACCTGGGCAGCAGCAGGGAGGAGGCGGAAAGGGGGCCCATGGCAGATTACGGGCCTGGCAGCAGCAATGGGGGGCCCCGTAATTCCCCCAGCCCCCTTTTACAAAATGGAAACACCAGCAGTGTGAGGGGGACCTGAAAGTGGCACATGGCAGAGTGTGGGCGATGGAGACGCAGAAAATGGGAGGCCGAAAGGGACCCATAGAAAACTTGGACCTGGCAACAGCATGGGAGGCGGTACAGGGGCTAAATGGCAGTTTTAAGGGCCTGGCAGCAGAAATTTGGGGAGGCCCGAAATTTCTGCCAGCACCCTATGAAAAAAAGGGAACCCACACCAGCAGTGTGAGGGGGGAACCTGAAAGGGGCCCACATGGCAAAAGTTTTTGGGCCGATGGAGAAAAAGCAGCAATGGGGGGCCCTTTACAGGGACCCATGAGAACTGGGGGCCTGGCAGAAAGCATGAGGAGGGGTACGGGCCCCCAAAGGCGGGTTTACGGGCCTGGCAGCACCCAATTTGGGGGGCCCCGTAATCTGCCGGGCACCCTATGACAAAAGGAACACCCCAAGAGTGTGAGGAGCCCGGGAAAGTGGCAATGGCAGGGGTGTGGCGAGGGTGACAGCAGCAAGGGGAGGCCGTACAGGGCCCCAAGAGAGACTTGGCCCTTTGGCCCCAGAAATGAGGGGGGGGGGTTACGGGGGGCCCCAGGCGGGTTTAACGGGCCGGGGCAGCAGAAATGGGAGGCCCATAAACTCCCAGCACCCTATGAAAAAAATTTGGAAACCCAACACCAGCAGTGTGGGGAAAGACCTGAAAGTGGCCCCCTTTTTTTTTTTTGGGGGGCATGTTTCATGGGGGATTTAGTCAGTTGTGTCAAAAGGGTTTGGTTTTAAATCCAGACTAAATCCACGCCTGATTCTTTTTCCACAAACGGAGTCTCTCCACATTTTGGGGTGGACATTTCTGCCCTTCCGGGGGATTTTACAATACCCCCTTCCGCACTAAACACCCCGCTCCGTTCCCAGGGTTAAGGGCCCGGGCCCAAGACCCCCCTTTAAAGGGGCCAAATTCACCCTTTTTTGGGGCCAAAGGCATTTTTCCCGGCCCCAGTATTCAAGGGGATTGCAAACCGGGGGTTTTGGCAGGGTTTTTTCCAAAGGGGCCCAAAGCCGGGTTGTTTAAAGGTTTCCGCCCCGGGCCCACCTGATGCGCTGCGCGCGGCTTTTTAGTATTTTCCCACTGCGCGGTTTGAAAAAAAGCTACTAATCATCGACTGCGGGACGGGCCCCGGCTGGGGGGAGTTTCCACTGCCCACCACCCCACCCCCCCCCTGCTGTTTTTGGCGGGGAAACCCGCGAGGCACGGGCCCCAGTGCCCTGAGGGGGGTCTTTTGGCGCAGAAAGGCAAAACCCAACTGATACATAGGTTTTTTTTATGTACGTTTTTTTGGCCCCCCTCCAGAATTTTGTGAAAAGGCCACCTTTTAAAAACGGTGCGAGGGCCCAACAAGGGGGACACCCCAAAAGTATCCCCTTTTTCTGATGGTTAAAATTCAGCTGTCGTTTAGGGCAACCAAACCCGAGCATTTTATGGGCCTTTTGTCCCCCAAGGGGAAGGGCGAGGGACCCCTGCCCCCATCTCCCAGCTTACTCCCCAAGGGGTTGGCGTCGGGGGTTCGGGTCTCCTCCCCTCCTCTAAAAGGATGCCCCTGCCCTCCACCCTGTCCGCTAGTGGAAAAAACCCCCCTTTTTCACTCAAAAAATTCCTGACACAAATGTCCCCCTCTCCCTCCCCCTCTTCTTCCTGTCCGCCCCAAACGGGGGTATGTGGCGTTGAAAATCTTTTGGCCCGCTACCGCACCCTGACCGCCATTGTTAAAAAGATTTGTTCCAGGCTGCCCCAGGGGAAAAGAATCGTTCACCCCCATAGTCCTCCCGACCACAAATTGCGTGGCCTCCTAAAAGGGGCCCTTAGCAAGCGGCGGGTGTCACGCATGTCGATGACCAATGGCTGACCATCGAAGTTACCAGGGGAGTACCTTTTTCGATGTAACATCAGAAATTTGGTGATGCTTTTGCTGTCGTAAAGGCGGTCTAACATGTGTAGGGGTTGAATTCCCCTTGTTGCACGTCGCAGATCTGGCGTTGTGTGGAATTGTTCTGCCGCTGCAGCTTCACGGAGGGTTTGTGCTTGCTTTGAGGTGTAGGGATGGCTGATAATGCATGCAAAGTTTAGTGACATTTTTTAAGGATGTCTAATGCAGTGGGGATGGCTGGATTTTAGGAACCGCTTGACAACCAGATTGAAACACGAGTGCCATGCATGGCGCAATGGGCACAACCTGCACTTGACGTCATGAGCAGACACCATGTTCTTTCCGTTGTCGGTCAACATGGTTGCCGATTTTCAGTTTGCGCGGAGACAGCCATCTGTCGATTTCTATGTTCATTACACTCAGAAGTTCCTCCCCGGTGTGACTACGTTCGCCAAGGCATATACCATGTGCACACAGCGTGACACCGTTGCGCCCTTGCACGATTGATATGCAGGTCGGGTAATGGAACTTGGCACGGGGGTGGCGGCTGAGGAACACGGCGTAAGAAGAGTGTTGGTAGAAAGCGGACATCTTTGCCGGACCAAGGACGTGCAAAAACGTGGAGGCAAAAAGCGGCGTGACCTGTCCAAGTTATTGCTGGTGCGGCTGTGCCGGCACCACGTTCACACCAGTGGGCCGTAAATGACATGTACTGTCCCTGACCGTAGTTACAGCTCCACACGTTCGGCGCTGCCGTGCACTTTGGCCAGAGACCGACATGCTCAAATGGACTGGCCCACCATCTCTTCTACATGTGAATGCAGGGCTGGGCACTGCCCTTTTTTTGGCGAAGAAATGACGGCTTGGCACTCTCCACCGCGGCGCGGCACAAGCCATCAATTTCTCGGAAAGGTGCTGAGTCCACCACTTGGAAAAGGGAGGGACTGCAGCACCAGCAACTTGGACAGGAGGACGTTCAGCTTCTGCACCGTCGGGTGCTGTGCTCGCAAACTGTTGTCTCTTGGAAACGGATTCCAAGAAAGACTGCTGACAGGAATCCCGTGAAGAGGAGTAGCAGGAGAAGGAGCATCTGAACGAGCGGAAGATGCCAAACGAGCGACAACTCCCCTCAGCAAGGTGTTGGAGCCTTGACTGGCTGATAGAGGGCGATTGACGTCGGTGACGGAGCAAGTAACGGAGGCGGGTGATGGAGCGGGGGGCGGGTGCAGAGCAGAAACCCCGCCGTAATCTTTATCACGTTTTCCCCAGGCCACCAAATGGCGACGCTGGCATATGCTGACGCAACGCTGTAGTCCCAACATGGGCCCCCTGGCCACGCTTGACTTTCTGGCCACATAGTCGACATACGGCTAACGTTTACTTCTATCGGCGGCTTGACAAAAAATTGCCACCAGCGCCGAGTAGGAAAGTTTGCCCCCGCTTAACTCCTCCACTGGCTGACTGCTACTTCCTCCGTGCACACCGGGCACCACTACTTAACTGGCCGTAGGTGGTAGGCTGCAGTGGAGCTGGTGCTCTACTTCTATCCGTGGCCGTTTGCCTCCACTGACACTGCTGCGACCCTGCTTCCTCCTGGGCAAAACCCACCGACTGTTTTGCTCGCTGCCAAGCTGGCACCCTCTTCTCCTGATGATGCGGAAGCAATAGCCTGATGACGACGAGGCCTGATGCCCAAGTGCGATCAGCCTAATCATCATCAATTTTTTAGGGTCCTCCGCCTCACTACTAAACGCCCCCCTCGGCTGCGTGTGGGTCAGGAGACAGACCTGTCTCTAGACCGGCTACCGAGCCACTCTCGACTCGCCAGTACTTCATCTTCGCGCCTGGCTGCTGAAGAGGCGGATGTCTCACGCCCCCTTCCTGACCGCCCTCTGTTAGCCTCTTCCTCACTGTACAGTGGTGCTGAGCCCACAGCATTGCGAAACTTTCGCTTGGTGAGGGAACACCAAAGGACAGGCAGGTCGAGGACACGTGATTTCAGTGGGCTTGCTCCCGGGCTATGCCAACTAACGGTTTGTGTCTGACTACCACCGACCGTTGGCTGTAGGTCCCTCAGAGGTGACCTGGGAAGAGGAAGACGACTGAGCCAACCAATCGATGACGCAGGGTTTCGGTGTCGGTGGAGACACGACCGCTGGATGACACCGGGAGCACTGGCCTCTGGCTGCGACTAGTGCTGCCTCGAACCCCTTCCTCTGCTGCCACGTCTGCTCGCTCCTAAAACATTGCCTCCTCTGCCACTCCTCTGCAGTTGTCCTGACATACACTTTAATTCAAAGATTCTGTGTCCCTGAGTAACAATTATGTGTCCCTGAGTAACAATTAATGTGTCCCTGAGTAACAATTCTGTGTCTGTCCCTGAGTAACAATTCTCTGTCCCTCAGTAACAATTCTGTGTCCCTCAGTAACAATTCTGTGTCCCTCAGAGTACAATTCTGTGTCCCTCAGTAACAATTCTGTGTCTGTCCCTGAGTAACAATTCTGTGTCTGTCCCTGAGTAACAATTCTGTGTCCCTCAGTAACAATTCTGTGTCTGTCCCTGAGTAACAATTCTGTGTCCTCATAACAATTCTGTGTCCCTCAGTAACAATTCTGTGTCCCTGAGTAACAATTCTGTGTCCCTCAGTAACAATTCTGTGTCCCTCAGTAACAATTCTGTGTCCCTCAGTAACAATTCTGTGTCTGTCCCTGAGTAACAATTCTGTGTCCCTGAGTAACAATTCTGTGTCCCTGAGTAACAAACTTCTGTGTCCCTCAGTAACAATTCTGTGTCCTCAGTAACAATTCTGTGTCTGTCCTGAGTAACAATTCTGTGTCTGTCCCTCAGATAACAATTCTGTGTCCCCTCAGTAACAATTCTGTGTCTGTCCCTGAGTAACAATTCTGTGTCCCTCAGTAACAATTCTGTGTCCCCTCAGAACAATTCTGTGTCTGTCCCTCAGTAACAATTCTGTGTCCCTGATTAACAATTCTGTGTCCCTGAGTAACAATTCTGTGTCTGTCCCTCAGTAACAATTCTGTGTCCCTCAGTAAACAATTCTGTGTCCCTCAGTAACAATTCTGTGTCCCTCAGTAACAATTCTGTGTCTGTCCCTGAGTAAACAATTCTGTGTTCTGTACCTGAGTAACAATTCTGTGTCCCTCAGTAACAATTCTGTGTCCCTCAGTAACAATTCTGTGTCCCTCAGTAACAATTCTGTGTCTGTCCCTGAGTAACAATTCTGTGCTGTCCCTGAGTAACAATTCTGTGGCCCTAAGTAACGGTTCTGTGGCCCTAAGTAACGGTTCTGTGACCCTAAGTAACGGTTCTGTGGCCCTAAGTAACGGTTCTGTGGCCCTAAGTAACGGTTCTGTGTCCCTAAGTAACGATTCTGTGGCCCTAACTCTCTCCCTCAATACAGACAGGTCTGCCTCTCTTGAATGACTGGAGGCAAATGAAGAATTCTAAAATGGCCGCAATTTATAGCTCGACCATTACACAGTGCTGGCTGGCTGGCTGCTGATTGGCTAATGCGATCACATGTCATGAATGAATGCATTATGGGTCAGCGCGCCTTGTCTGCGCGCCTTCCAAGAGATCCCCGCTCCGTCGCCGCACATGTCGCCGCCATTTTTGGAAAAATTTCGATTCGCGCATCCGAAGTCTGCTAATTTTCGGATTCGTCGCGAATCGAAATTTTCCTAATATTCCAAACGAATTCCACTTCGCCAAGTTCGATTCGCTCATCTCTACTGGTAGCCACACACCTCTCCTGTACATGTTGGGGGCATGGCTTGGATGAATCAAGCTGAGGATGCTTTTACTTGCTAACCACTCGGGCTGGGCGAGGTGTGCAGTGGCCGGGCTATCTCTTCCTATTTCTACACAGAACATGTTAGAGATTACAAAGATCGCCCATGTAATCCAGCCACATAATTTACAAAGTTAAAGTGGTTGTAAACCCTTGCATACACCCAGTGAAGTGGCTGGACTCAGGTGATACACAGAGATGAAATAAATCCTCCCAAATAAGTTGTACCTGTTTTTCTGCATCCTTTCAAAGTCCAGAATTTATAATATTTGTCAGAGCTTTCAGAAAACAGGGGGTGAAAAGCTAAAATTACACACTGCAAAGCTCAGTGAGGAGAGCTTTGAAAGCTGATTGGAGTGAAGGGACACACCTTCCTTCGCAAAGCACACAGAAACAGAGCTGAGGCTGTCAATCACAGGCTGTATTCTGAAGCTCCCCCCCATCACCTTTTTTCTCTTGGTGTTGGGAAAACTTGTCAGAAGTGATTCATGCAGATAGTGAAGGAATGTGGTAGCAGACAGAAATGCCACTTAATGCTCTAAAATGAGACAAGTACACCCCATAGAAGGATAAGCTTTGTTCATATTTCATGTCTTAGGTTTACCACCACATTAGAGCATGAAGGGTATTAATTTTTTCAAAGCCTGATTATGCCAAACCTGATATACTCCTACAGTCTTGGGCCATGGTATGTATATAGAAGAAAAAACAGAAATGAAAAAAAGAAACACAATGCAAAGGGATCAAATTCTAGTTCTACAGCATTTTTATAAGATCTTTGTTAGCCACAAAGATGGGCAGATTAGTCCATTAACTGTCAGGTCCATGTTGAGTCTTTCCTGATATTTGGCATATATGTTCCTTATAACATGTTAAATTGCACAATACCTTTAGGCAAAACATTTTAAACTTTAACATGTAGATATAGAACAACTATTTACTTATCTATCACAATATAGGTCACTGGTTGAATAGTCTATATCTGCGTTTAAGTCTGTCTTTGTCTGTCTTCCCGATAGTGTATACATTTTTCCAGCCTAGTTTACTTCATGTAAATGTAATGAAGTTCCTTAGTTGGGTTGTGTTAGGATCCTACATTCAGACCCTATGTCCTTTTTTCGACCTAAGTATTCTGTGTAACTGAAGGTAGGAAGTATAGGCTCTCTTCCCCTGAGTTCTAGTGCCTTCCAAAAACAAAAAGAAAGGCATCAATGGAACTTTTACACCCACATTACAAAGCACAGAGCCACCCTGAATACGTTGCCTGTGACCTGCACTGTTCCAAGACAGTGTGATCACAGGCACTTTGCACGTTCTTGGTGTGAGCACACACTTTGAGACAAGAACGTTTTTACAAAGGTAGAGCAGCGCTCCTGACTAGCTGTTAAACTGCGAAGGTTAAACAAATTATGTTATTAGGATATAAGATTGGAAGCACATTAATAACACATGAATCCATCCACTTCTATCTGTATGAGGTTTCCCAAAGCTGGAAAAGGAACAGGTAATGGTAATTTAGTACTCATGCGAGAGAGATAAACTCTGATGATAAACTCTCAGGCATGAAGAGCAAAGAGATGTAGCTCTCCTTGTAGGCTTGAAGGGCAATCAGGAATAGAGTGCTATGCCAGAAATACATGATGAAAGTGTTTCTTTGCACAACTCTGCACCAATAAGGCAAAAAACTAAGTTATTAATATTATTAAAGCTAGCCATGTCATTCCTCTTGCTATCCCTTCTATATGCACCTATGCATAAAGGTTGTTGTAAATTTAATTGCTTCCTTTCTCATGGCACAGCTTTCTAGCAATCTATAGCTATCAACCATGAAACTGTGTAAAAATCTAAATTACCCACTATCACATTACCGTCTTTCCTTATTTCCTTAATGTTAATTCACTTTGTTAATGTGGCCAAAGCGTGCATTCCAGAACTCTGGAGATGGGAGATTCCCCCACTGGTCTCTTTTTGGTTTACAAAAATGTTGGAAATCCACAGAATGGAAAATCTCACTGCAACCTTCAGATATAGAGAAGAAAAATTCAGGTGCACATGGTTTCACTGGACCATGTTTAGATGCACTTGGGAATATGAAGAACTTTTTACTCAAGAGGAATGATTCTAACAGGTTCATTTTGAGTACTGGACTGGACGGGACTGGATTTCTGACATGGACACCTAGGGACCTCTATTCCTTGTCTCGCTCCTTCATTTATCTTTTTTTTCCTTCTTTTACTTTTTTGTGAGTGGCTATTTGCTACCTAGTGTTTTTTGCCCAAAGGTGGAAAGTGTGGCCGACAGAAGACCTTCTCAGATGACTGTACACGAAGAAGCAATTGTGAGATCATTACTAGTAGAATACATGTTATTAGTCCTGAGTACTGTTCATGCATGTTTCTGTTCCTTCGGTCTGCTGCAGTAACACCTCCAATTTGTTGTGCTCCGTGGCCCCTCTATTATGATATTTTTGACAATATTTTTTTTGTCATTTGGAAAATCTTTAAATAAAAAATTAAAAATATATATTATTCTGTTGGCTGAGCTTATTACTCATTTATTGCACCTGTCAGCAGTAAAGAATTTACAACAGCATCTATGTACAAATACTGCTAGCTGTAATAATATGGTGTACTTTAAGGTAAACTCAGTAGTAGATTGTACAGTATGACATACAGCAACCAATCAACGGGGGAAAAGGAGGACAATTTAAACACAGGAAAAAGGCAGGAGTAACAATTACTTTTTATCTGTGGCAAGTGTTGTAAAACCCCAGCTCTACTCATTGTAATTAAATAATTAGGAAGATGGAGATATCATATGTAGTCATGTCAAGTCACCCAGAAATCCATGAGTCACCCATATTCTGTATCATCTCACCTACTCACCCAGTCAGTAGGGATAATCTCCTGGATTTTGCCTGTGAATTAACAAGTCTGTCATTACTTGCCAACTGTCTCATTTTTTCAATAAGTGCCTTGTCCTTACCACATCCACAAACCGCATCCTTGCTTGCCCTTTAAATGAAGCTCATCCTCATCAGCACTGTTCTCTGTGACCACCACCACTGATAGTCCATGGACATCCCTGCACTCTTTTAAAACATTTCATTGACTCACCTTTCTGATGCGTTCTATCACTTAGAGGTTGTTATATTACTGACTTGGATAGCTCAGAATGTACCAAATAGAGTAGGCCATGAAAAGCATATTAAAGATCATTTAGAAATTAGGGGCCACCTTGAACAGTTAGAACTCCAAAACACTCCCTTTAAATCGAATGAATAGTTTTTTTTTTTACTTGAATAGTTTTTTTTCTTTATTCATTATAGTATGACCAAAAAATCAAAAATATTGAAAAAATGTATTCCTTTTATTTCAGTCAGGCAAATTTGAAACATTGCACGAGGAGGAACAGGGGGCTCTATTCTACCTTTTATCGTTAGTATTGTACCTTTGCTTAATGAGAGAAGTAGGTTGTTTACGGACCTCAGTGAATGATTATATTCTATTGTGATGTAGTGATATAAATACATATTTTTTGTAATAAAAATGAAAAACTATATACTTTGTATATAATATATATATACATATACACATACACACACACACACACACACACACACACACACACACACACATATATATACAGAATATATAGTATATTTGTGTGTTATATATATATATATATATATATATATATATATATATATACACACATATATATATATATATATGTGAGTGTGTATTGTATTGTAGCAACAGCGTACAGACTTACAGTTTGTAAATTTTTTTACGAAAATGTTACAAAGCCATTAAGATTTGGCTGTGAGCTTGGAGTCTATATTGCGGATATACCCTTATCCACCACCATAGACATTACATATAGACAAATGAATTGGAACACACTATCTTGCCATGTCTCCTAATGTCTTGAATTTGTCCAAACACGTATGACTGTTCAAAAACAGTATTTTTTTTCAGTTTTTCTGAAATTAGCTGTCAGTTGGGTTGTGATGTTATTCAAGATGAAAAGTGTAGACTGGAGTTATTCTTTTATATAACAGACTATCTTTGTAGCTACTAATATATTTACAGTCTTTAGGAAATTAATGTTCCAGCTACCTTAAAGGATGTGCTTACTGAAGACATCAAGGTTGATGTCAATCAGCTCCAGCTCTTTAATTTAATTTTATAAGCCTATGTCACAATGAAGCATGACACAGTCATCCATGATATCTTGAACAATGCTATCATATAACATGAGTTGTAGCACAATATCGCCTAATTGAATATAAGCAATGCAGAGCTTACTATGCCTTTGCATTCTTAATATATAAATATAGCTTCAGTCACCAAGTACTTTTTTTCTCAGAGGCACTTGAAGCACTTTCCAGTTTTAGAACACAGCAATGCTGGGACTTAGGTAATGGGCTCCCCAAAGAGGAAGTAGGTAATCAATATACAGACTTATTTAAA